TAAATAAGCACTAATACTGTCAATACTGATAACCAAGTGAAAACCTTAATAGGCAGCCATTATGTATTTATTTTTAGTTTTCACCATGTTAGAAGTGATGCTGGTCATTCTGTCATGATGATGCCAGAAGAACAAAATTATTGCACCAGTTAGAGTAATTAAGAGAAAGTAGACATCCTTTCCTGTTTTGTCTTTAATCCATCAAGATTTTTCCGACCTGTGATCTTAGACGATATCAGCAAAGCAACAAGAGCTTAGTATGCCTTTGAGTTTAAATGTGCACAGATAACACCATTTACTATTCAAATCATAATAAAGGTGCACAGTTACTATACTATTTCTACAAGCATCCGCCCTTTAAACATAACATATACAGTATGTTGTGAACACCAAACTCCAGTTTGTAACTTTACTGCTCAGGCTGTATACATAAGCTAAATATATACACATCATGTCATCTGTCTCAGTCTTAGTGCCCAGTCATGTGGCCTTTTGCTCTACAAAAATGTATGAAATCGAATGCCAAATGGGCTTGCTCTTTATGGCCTGGTTTTATGATTTTTTTAAAGTATCAGTTCTAGTACAGTTTAGGCACCAGCACCGTTTTTAAAAAGTCCAGGTATCCACGTTTACGATCAGTCTGAGCACAGAAACTGATGGAATGCACATGAATTCATCTGCATTGTTTGTGTTGACATCTGGAGACAGCTGTTAGCTAGCATTAGCTCCCTAGCAGAAACCCACACACTGTTCAGCTGACTTCCCACAGCCTCACAACTCATAGCCATATAACATGTCTTCAAAAATGCAAACCGAGAGCTCAGACCAGCGTACAGTCTATTTCAGCTCATCCTATTCGTCTACATTCCCACTGAAACACCTAGATTTGGCTAACCATCCTCATCCATGACAGTCCACAGAAATGTCATGTCACATAGACTGTAATTACTCATATCACAGTTAATGGAACTGACCTGACTCGAGGTGGATCATAACCATTATCCAAGTTATTTAATCTTTTATAATAATTTGTACACATTAACTTGTTCCGCAAAAATCTTACATGCATTTCACTAGCCATAATTAACCACACTAAATGCATCACCAATCAAACATAGAAGATACATTGTAAACATTAGCTTCTAAATAGTAATTATATCTCTGGTAACAGTGGGCCACTTCAAAAACCTGATTTCAGGTCCTGTTAAAGCTGCAAGACTGTGCACCAAACTGGTAAGCACTGCAGCCATAAAAGTCTCATCACAAAGCTTCATATTCTGCTGCCATGCCACCAGTGAAGTTTGGCTACATGTTAGTTCAGGCGGGGCTTAACATCTTAATGTTAAGACTAAAATCGGCAATGAATTGCCTCTACTCACAGTTAGTCTGTCAGCCTCAGATTAGCTTATTCATGTGTGCAACAAATCTCTGTTGTTGTTCAAAAACATCAGTGAAACACGCTGCTGCATTGGGTGACATATATCTGAGTGTGAATAGCTAGTGGAATGTAAACAAAGCAGAGAGCTCGCACATGTGCAGCTAACGACGACTCATACTAACTTCATGGTATTATGGCCACTTTAAGCCTTTGGGGCAACACAGTCTGGGGTCTGATGACACCACCATTGTTGGATGTGTATCCACACGGGGGGCACTCACTCCGGTGAGCTTTCAGGGCTCAGTCATTGAGATTGTAGACACCTTTAAATACCTGGGGGTCCACCTCAACAACAAAATGGATTGGACTGAAAACACTGATGCCTCCACTTGTTGAGGAGACTGAGGTCCTTTGGTGTGCGGGGGCCACTCCTTCGCACTTTTTATGATACTATAGTGGCATCTGCTGTTTTTTACACTGTTGTGGGCTGGGCGGGAGGTAGCACGGACAGGGACAGAAAGAGACTAAACAAGCTGGTCAAGACAGCTGGGTCTGTCCTGGGCTGCTTCCTGGATTCCATCGATGTGGCGGACAGAAGGATTCTGGTAAAACTAACATCCATCATGCACGACCCCTTCCATCCCCTGCACCACACAATAGAATGTGCAACTGAGGTGCAATACTCAAATCCTGGGGTAAAATGCATGGTTAATATGCACATATCTAAATTCTGTTCTTGATTATTCAAATACATGATTCTGTCTATTTTTGAGTACTTGGAATTTATTTATCAGGATGTGTGTGCAGTACTTGTTCTCATGGTGTTATGCTGTCTGTTCTCTATTGCTGCTTGAGGTACTGAAATTTGTTGATCAAGATATGTGTGTGGTGTTTGTTTTTCATTGTGTTATGTTGTTTGTTCTCCATTGCTGCTGAAACACTGAAATTTCCCCATTGAGGGATCAATAAAGTACCTACCTAACCTACCTACCTTTCATAATACTATTAATATAGAAAATAACCAGCCTTATCCTTTATTGTCCAACAACATATTAAGATGCTGGATTTATCCAGAATACAGCCAAAAAAACAGGCATAATATAACCCAATAATATCAAGAAGACCCCCGAGTTTCTATGTTAATATTAATATCACCAACTATTGTATACAGCCAATTATCCAATTTAGAGTCATGCCCAAAAATATTGGCACCCTGCATTTCTGTCAGATTATGCACCACTCCTCCCAGAAAATTGTTGCAATCACAAAGTCTTTGGTATTCTCATGTTTATTTCTTTGGTCAGAGCATCACCAGCAGTTATGAATTGCCATTTACAGACATATGTGTTCTGCAAAAGTAATAGTATTTGTGAGTGATTTAGCATCTTTTTGAAGGAACCAATGAGCCTGATGATTATTTTGTGGTGGTTGACAATTTCATTTCACAAAAAAAACCAAACACACTTTTGCCATATCCTGTTGGGAGTATCACAACACATTGTCTCCAAAAAATTGTTTTATCCTTCTTTTAATTCAAATGTATGATAACGTATGTCATCCAGTACATCATACATCTCTGATAGTTTTAATCATTTCATCTTCATCACCCCCACCCCATCAGCTGGTGTTGAAAACATCAAAATGATCCTCACCAAACTGACCCTCACTAAATATTCCACCTGCCAGGTAAAAATGTAAAGCCAGTTTACTGATGTGATTGTTTGCATGTTACATTTTTGATGGGAATACTAAAATGAAGGAAAATAACATTCAATTCTATTTTCTGGCTTACAGTAATGTGAAAATTGTTTATTGTAACAAAGGAAGAGTTTTTTTTATTAACAATTTTATCTTTACAGCTATTAACTATAATTTTAGGCAGTCAAAATAATCATCAGGCTGAGACACTAAACCACTCATAAATCTTATTACTTTTGCAGAGCGCATCAGACTGTGTACATGGCAGGTCACAGCTGACCACTGGTGTGACCGCTGGTGTCACTGGGCTTGGCCTTCAGCAACAGCTTGAAAAACAATGTCATTTCCCCTTACTATCTTAACTTTTCAGGGAACCAACCTATCCTATGAAAAACTGACAATTTATATTTTTCCTGGATGGGACCAGATGATTTTTGATTCTGTATCAGAAGATTTTATGAGAATTCAGGCAATACCTTTAGATTTTGTGTTAGGAAACGACAGTACAGGGTTAAAGCATTTGGCAAGTTTCAATTTTGAATGCTCACAGCTCATGTGTGCAACACTTTAGAGTCACAGAGGTGGGGCTAATTGCACAGTAGTAAACCTGTCTAGTTTTGTCAGTACTTGGTCAAACAACAACAAAACATATATAGTGATAAAAGGAGAGATGACAGTACTAAGTTCTATGTCGTTTTCAATAAGCATTTTGTACTAACTGGAGTCATGCAAGCAGCTATTGTATATCAGAAGCATAACCGAAACTCAATTAACTGAAATGGCAATTAAAGACCGATTTCCTGACCAAAGTATGGATTACCTGAAGTCTCTCAATAAACTCCACATATAGTTTAGTAGAATAACTACCGGCCGTTTATTTTCAATAAGTCACTTTCGGTTGTTTAAGACTCCGCTCCAGGTATACTTTACATGGCGTTCTTTGCACATCCAACATAATGTAGGGTCATAAATCTATGTTAACATTTAAACTAACACTTCGTCCACTGCACAACTGTCGCCTTCCCGATTTAGAAAAGTTATTAAAACAAGTTACACAGACTATATTTTTCTCTTCCAAGAAGAAGTGGCCACATTAAACTCTCAAGTTACATTTCTGGATCAGGAAAAGAAGTTTAAGTGTCGGGTCAATGGTGAAACAAGTTAATTTTTAAATAATTTAAATATATTACTGTTTGCTATCCGTGGCTCCAGGCTGGTGATGAAGGACGAAATTTCTGATTCTTAAGTGTGGTTAAATAGTTGCTGTCCGCGTGCTAAGTAACGTTAGCATTCAATTTACAGTGTTAACATTAGCTTAACTTCTCGTTAATAAACGGGTATCTGGCGTAACGTTATTTAAAATCAATCCCATTTCTTCCTTTGTCAATATAATTAAGTTTGGGGCTCGGAATTAATCACTGCCTATCAATTCTCGTTATCTACAGTATGGCGACGATCGCTGTAGTGGAAACGATGAAATAAGTTCTACTGGTTAGCTAACACAGTAGCTTAGCATACCTACATGCAGTAACGTTAGCAATAGCTTGACTTGTTAGCTAATCTGCTAGTGCGCGCGCATCAACAGTAGCAGCCTCAGAAAATAGCGTCACGTTGGTTTATGTGCGAACTAAGACATGCCATGGTATGATACAGAATTCGGATCACTTCACTAGCACGAAAGGGCCTTGGATTGTTTCCGTATACCACTCACAGCCGGAGGTCTACGGTTCTATAAGGCTGATTTGCAGTTTGCTACAGCAACTCCCACAGCATAGCTGAGAAGCACGCTAACGCTAACACCTTTGTTTTGCTTGGCTAACTAATTCATTCCAAAAGCGATGTAAAATGTTTGGTTGACAACATTTTATCAACTGCGAAAACGTCGGTACTGTTTCTCAAACTGTTGTCTTATTGTGTCACTTACCTGAAATAAGAACGTACTCCAGCTCGGTTCCATTGCAACACTTAGGCTAAAATCTGCAGGAAACCTACAAGGAATCTACAACAAAGCAGCTAAACATGGCAGCTACAACTTCCTGTAAAGCACAGGACTGAACCATGTCCAGTGGACTTTATAGGACCTCTGGATTTAACAAGAAATTTCAGATATAAAATTTTGTTTTTCTATTACAAACCCCCTCAAAGAGACCCTGCTTTCAGATTTTTAAAAATAATTATGTGTATGTGGTATAAAGAAATTATGTAATCATGTTTTCATAAATATGACAATTAATTATGCAGACAGAAAAATCATACACCGACATAATCTCATTGTGTACTAACATATAATACCTAGTGATCAATTCTGTGTAAAGAAATGCTTGGAGAGATGGAAAATACTTTCTACTTAGTGAAAACTGAGTAGAAGCCAAGAAATACAAAGGTCAGTAAACTTTAGCAGAGGAATAGAAGTAGAGTATATGGAACTCCAGAGTGTTAAACATTAATAAAATATATAAGACGTTATGAAATGACACATCATTTCTAATATAACCATGAAAATGTTAAATAACCAACCAAGCTTTTAAAATTCAGCTCATATTATGAAGCTGTATTCACTGTTTTAGAAAACTACTTATGAAATATTATTTCATCATGTTTGTTTTCAAAATAACAGACTTTATATTATAACTCTGCTTTATTTAATTCCAGTAGCTTTTATTGTGTGGATGCTGTAAAGCATCCACACTATGCTCTCCTGTTTTTTATTTATTGTATGGATGGTGATTCCGCATCCATACTGTGTTATCCTGTTCTTAATTTATTGTATGGATGCGGATTCAGCATCCATACTATGTTATCCTGGTCTTTATTGTTTGGATCCTACAGCATCCACACTGTTATCCTGTTCTTTATTTATTATATGGATGCTGATTCAGCATCCATACTATGTTATCCAGAGTCAGCAGTCCACCTCCACCAGAAGGAGAAAGGATACTCTTTTGAGGACAGTGAAGTCCAGATCCTCTCCAGAGAACATCGTTGGTTTGAGAGAGGTGTTAAGGAAGCTATTTTCGTAAAAATAGAACATCCCTCACTAAATAGGGGTGGTGGGCTAAGACACAACTTGTCTTCCATCTACAACCCGGTTTTGAGATCTCTGCCCAAACATGCC